CACGGCTCCAATTCATTTGCATAATCGGATGTGTATGTGAGTTTACGTGTATGTGACTCACGCCTTCTTAAAGAACTGGTCCAATGCCGCTACAGAGTAGTTGAAGGCAACAATATCCGCAATGTTAAGACTAAAAAGGGGATAGACATACACGTTCACCGTCCTCCGTAGGTACCTCCTTCAGGCGCACTAGATCGGCTTTATTTCCGGCAAAGAAAACAGGAACAGGTTCACTCCCATGCTAAAACGGAAGAAGGCATCAGAAACCAAAACTTACTATCTATGACTTCATTATAGCGCCTATTCTCTCCATTTAATCTTGATGAGTCCTCAAGGCATTTGCTAAGCCTCGCATAATCGAAAGCCTCCAGGTTAACTAGCAATTGTAAGGCTAAATAGTTTATGCAGGATATCATTTTAGCCTAACTATGGCCTCAGTTAACTAAAAGGGAACAAGCATGCAGCTCTTAAATGACAACGAGGCTCTACACATGAGCTTAAAGATCATAGTAGTCCTAAAACCATCTTGAAGGCGTAGTAAAACCAAATTCATTTTCAGTTGCTAAAAGTAGTAAAGAGTACTGTGGTACTTTGGAAATCATTTGTCTACTCCTCACTAAGGTAGCTGTCGTGTAGGCTGTGACAAGCAAGTTGTCCTTCTCTGACGATCATGATCACCATTGGGGAGGATCAAGTTGCGGCAAACCCGAAGCGATCATAAGGCAATCAGAGTAGAAGGTTTCGAAGGTAAAGGGGTTATTTTTACATAGTAGTATAATGTAGGAATATTACTCATAATTTGTGATTCATTTACTAGCCTATAGTTTCAGCATAGGGAGATGCCGATTCTTAAAGCAAATGCAACTGTCCAGGAAGGGAGTCTTGCGGCCTCGAATCAGATCCACAATCAGCACAACATGTGTTGCTGTTCCACATTTGCACCAAAGTAGAAAAACTTCTCTTTGCTTAATGAAAATTGTTAACAAAGAAAAAAGAGCAAATGGAAGAAGCATGAGTAGTCAAAGAAACTCTTGTCTGTTTCATTCACAGGTCTAAGCTAATTGAGGCGCCAAAAGCAAGTATCATCCTGTCCACAATGGGCGGCACACACAAAAGAGGAACGTTATTTCGGTAAAAAAAATTGCAGAAATTTACCACATCTGCCATTTTTAGCCATTCTTCGCGAATTTTGGTAAAGGATTCTCGATTGGTGACGTCGTAGACAATCACGAAACCCTGAAAAACCACAAAACGCAAAGTGGACAAACAGTAATGCCTCTCCTGTACCCAGCATTGTACATTGTACTAAGCTAAATATCTTAAATGCTAATGGAGAATTCTAAGTTGAAGCATTCATGGACGACTGATAGCCTACAAACCCATCCTCTGTCCATCACGAGGGACAAAATCAGTTCATATAGGTAGACTCACTGAAACCGCATTGGAAAATAAATTTGTGAAGTGAACAGAAGGCCAAACAGACCTTTGCTTCCCTAAACGTCGAAGCGGCAAGCGAACGATAACGCTCCTGGCCAGCCGTATCCCTGAAAAAGAAAATAAAACCGAGCGTGGACACTTTTGTCGCTCTACAAGCTGCCATTCAATCTACAGATGGAAAGTCAAATTCTGTACTCTAGCAATATCATGCTTATTTCAATGCCATTTCACGCCACATTTTATGGAGCGTAATTCCTTTACCCTCTGAAGGGCTTTCTTAAGCACAAGT